GCCGGGGTGCTCGCCGTGCGAGCCGCACTGCCGGGGCGCCGAGCCTCTGGCCTCAATGATTGAGGAGGGGGCCTGCGCTTTTTGAAGGAGCGCGGCAGGTGCGCGCCGTCGGGCTCGTGGGCACCCCGCACCCCGGCGGGGGAGGCGACAGAGGGACGGAGCTTCCCTTCGACGGAGTTGCGACATTGCTCGATCCCCCCTCCGTGTTCGATCTCTCTTGCGACGACGACGATTCAAGAGAGGCTGGCGTGCTTCAGTCAGGGTCGGGCCAGCGTCGCGTCGACGGGCCTCTCGCATGCGCCGATGGGGTCGGCGGATTCGTCACGGTGAGGGTTTCGACCTGGCCAGGCCAAAACGTGCCAGACGCATCAAGCAGATTATCCAGCTGCCTGCGGCACCACCGTGCCTGTGCAACAGCGCTGCAGGAAGGGCACCGAGTGTAGGAACAGCGCAGTTCCGATGAGTGGTCTGATAAAGGGCGGGTCGTGGGCTCGACCTCGTCTTCGTCCGCGCGGTAGGAAGCAGGTCCGAGTTCACATCCCTCGGCAGTTCAGCGAGCTGTCTGAATTCGGGACTGCCGCGATCCCGATATCGTCTTCTTCTTCCGCGCGGTAGGGAGGAGGAGGAGGAGGAGGAGGAGGAGGAGGAGGAGGAGGAGGAGGAGGAGGAGGAGGAGGAGGAGGAGGAGGAGGAGGAGGAGGAGGATAACGAGGAGGAGACGAGGTGGAGAACGAGGAGGAGAACGAGGAGGAGGAGGAGGAGGAGAACGAGGAGGAGAACGAGGAGGAGAGCGAGGAGGAGAACGAGGAGGAGAACGAGGAGGAGAACGAGGAGGAGGAGGAGGAGGAGGAGGAGGAGGAGGAGGAGGAGGAGGAGGAGGAAGAGGAAAAGGAGAAGGAGCAGAGGGAGAAAATGATGACAACGATGATCAACCTTCTTGGGGCCCTTTTGGGGCTTCCTGGGGGCCTCCTGGGAGCCTCCTGGGGTGCCTCTTGGGGTCCCGTTCGGATCCTCCCTCTGGGGGGCCTCTTGGGGCCTCTTGGGCTGTCTCAGGGAGGCGGTCGGCCCGTCTGACGCCTTCGGAGTCCTTTTTGGGGGCCTCTCTGGGCCGTCTTGGTGCCCTCTTGGAGCGTTTCGTGGCCGTCTCGGGGCCCTCTTGGGCTCTTGGGCGACCTTGGGGGTCCTCTTGGGCCGACTCGGGGCCCTCTTGGGGGCCCTCTTGGGGGCCCCCTGGGCTGTCTTGGAGCTATCTTTCGGGGACCACATGCGAACCCTACCCCTACCCCCACGAGCTCTGAGACGAAGGGTAGGGTTCACTGTGCTCGGTTCGCTCCCGAACGCAGTGAACCCCACCCTCCCCCTCAGATATCGTGGGGGGCGGGGGTAGGGCTCGCATGTGGCTCCGTAAATCTTGGCACCCTCTGGTCCGAGGCCCCCTCCCCCCCCCGGGGTTGGGCGCTGCGTAATGGGGGATCGTAAATGGGGGGGTGGCGAGCGTGGTCCGAAAAGGTACCCAAACGGTACCCAAAGGAGCCCCCTGGGGCGCTGGAGGGGCCCGAAGGGGGCACGACAGGGGACCTTTTCTGACCCCCCCCCATTTGTGACCCCCCCATTATCGGAGGCCCAGAGGTTGACGCCAACACCAGGATCGGCGGTGTGCCTCCACCGAGGGAAGAAGATCCCGATCTCGGTGATGGTGGTAATGTTCTGGCTTCCAAGGTGGCCGAAATATTACCACCAACACCGAAATCTAGGATCATCTCTCCCATGTGGAGGCAAGCCCCTGTGCTGGTGTTGGTGCCAATTTCCAGGCCTCCAATCCCCCCCTTGCCTCCTCGCCCTCCTGATCTCCTCCCCCCGCCCTCCTCCTCGCTCTCCTCGCCCTCCTCCTCCTCCTCCTCCTCCTCCTCCTCCTCCTCCTCCTCCTCCTCCTCCTCCTCCTCCCCTCCTCCTCCTCCTCCTCCTCCTCCAGCTCCTCGACAGGAGGAGGAGGAGGAGGAGGAGGAGGAGGAGGAGGAGGAGGAGGAGGAGGAGGAGGAGGAGGAGGAGGAGGAGGAGGAGGAGGAGGAGGAGGACAGCTCCTCGACGTGTTGGTGCCAATTTCCAGGCCTCCAACATTAGGCCGCGCCCCCCTCGGGGAGTCCCCTGCGGGCGTCCCCGGCGGCTGCAGGGGGAGCTCCCCTCGTTGTGACCCCCCCGTTTGTGACCTTTTCTGACCCCATCTGTGACCCCCCCATTTGTGACCCCCCCAGTTGTGACTCCCCCAGAAAGGGGACCTTCTCTGACCCCCCCAGTTGTGACCCCCCCTGATCAAGCCGCGCCCCCCTCGGGGAGTCCCCCCTGCGGGCGTCCCCGGCGGCTGCGGGGAGGAGCTCCCCCCCCCCCCGGGCGGACGGGCGAGCGCCCCGCGGGCCTGCCCCGTGCAGCCGGCGGCCCTCCGTGCGCCGTCCTGCCGCCTGCCGCGGGGGGAGCGCCAAGGAGGTGTGGCGACGTGCCGCTCGCGGGGGGGGCGCGTCGCGCGGGGGCGTGGCGTGGAGATGATTGAGGAGGAGGAGGAGGAGGGAGGAGGAGGAGGAGGAGGAGGAGGAGGAGGAGGAGGAGGAGGAGGAGGAGGAGGAGGGAGGAGGAGGAGGAGGAGAGGAGGAGGAGAGGAGGAGGAGGAGGAGGGGGGGAGGAGGAGGAGAGGAGGAGGAGGAGGAGGAGGAGGAGGAGGAGGAGGAGGGGGAGGAGGAGGAGGAGGAGGAGGAGGAGGAGGAGGAGGAGGAGGAGGAGGAGGAGGAGGAGGAGGAGGAGGAGGAGGAGGAGGAGGAGGAGGGAGGGAGGAGGAGGAGGAGGAGGAGGAGGAGGAGGAGGGGAGGAGGAGGAGAGGAGGAGGAGGAGGAGGACTGCTCGTGTCCGATTCTTCGGAAGGTCTTGCATTTTTGTTTGGGGGCCAGGATCCTTTCATTTCTGGTTCTCAGGGGCGCGTCACGCGAGAGCGCTGCGTGGAGAAGGACCTGCCTCCATCCAATGCGCACACACACACACACACTGCTCATGTCTAAATATTCGGAAGTTCTTTAATTTTTTCGGGGCCCGGATGCTTTCGTCTCTAATGCTTCTGTCCTGGGCCTCTTCCTGGCCGCCAGGGGGCCCAGGAACAATTAGAAACTAGCACAATTAGAGATGAGCACGATGCGAAACGAACGACGTGTAGTGACGTACAGTTCAAGGGCGCGTCAAGCGAGAGCGCTGCGTGGGTTATCAGCGGCAAGCGAGGGGGCGAAACGAGAAGGGAGAAGGAGAAGGCCTCCCCAGAAGGCGGCGGAAATTCTCAGAAGCCCTCGCGCCTTCCCGAGAAGTCTTCTGTGCCTTCGGGGAAGGCGCAGGAAACTTCTCGGAAGGCCGGGGGACTTCCGAGGCTTCCGAGAAGGCCCTCTTTTTCTCACTTCCCCTCCTCGCTCGCCGCCGAGATAAGGACATGCCTGCATCCACGTGAGCGTTGCACGATTTCACAGCTCTTGTCTTAGACTCACCACCCACCAAACCACCCCAACCCAACCCGAAGGCTCAGACTTACCCTCGATTCGCGTGGAACCCTTACCCCCCCCAACCCGAAAGTCGGGTCTTCGGGCTGGGTTGGGGTGGTCTGGTAGGTAGTCCTAGACCTGGCCGACGTCTCGAAGCGACAGACCGCCTCCGCGCAAGAGACGCAGCCCTCCCCCCGTGCAGCCGTGGCGAGAAAAGTGCGGCCGCGCGGCTGTTCCCCGAGGCTTATGGTGCTCCAGCCTACGAAACCCAAGGGTTTTCACGTGTCGGGCCCGGGGAGGCACTCCCCCGCCATTGTCTCGACACACTGTTTCGACACTCTTTTGACACTTTTCCGGGTGCTCGAAATCATTTCTGGGATGTGGTCCTTGAGTAGGATGGGAACAACATAACCCGAGGCCTCCGGGGAGGCCTCTGGAGGCTGCCAGAGGTAATATAGCACGGCAGGGTTACGTCGGGCCTGCAGCATTAGTAGTAACAGTAACGCTAAGCTAAAGCTAAGCTAAAGCTAAGCTAAAGCTAAGCTAAAGCTAAGCTAAAGCTAAGTCATAGCTAAGCTAAAGCTAAGCTAAAGCTAAGCTAAAGCTAAGCTAGAGCTAAGCTAAAACTAAGCTACAGCTAAGCTACAGCTAAGCTAAAGCTGAGCAACAGCTAAGCTAAAGCTAAGCTACAGCTAAGCTAAATATAAGCTAAAGCTACGCTAAAGCTAGGCTACAGCTAAGCTAAAGCTAAGCTAAAGCTAAGCTAAAGCTAAGCTACAGCTAAGCTCAAGCTAAGCTCAAGCTAAGCTAAAGCTAAGCTAAAGCTAAGCTAAGCGCTAAGCGAAAAGCTAAGCGAAACGCTAAGCTAAAGCTAATTCTACAGCTAAGCTCAAGCTAAGCTAAAGCTAAGCTAAAGCTAAAGCTAAAGCTAAAGCTAAAGCTAAAGCTACAGCTCCCAGGGGACTGGGGGGAACCGCTCCCAGGGGACTGGGGGAACCGCCCGGGGCGCTTTCCACTGCCCGGCCCCTTTAAGCTAGAGAGTAAGAACCCTTCTAGGCAGAGCCTAGGTAGGGAATGAGGGCTATTCTTTCGTTATTTTTGTGTATTAAAAAAATTGCCCCAGGAGGTCTCCGGAGGCTTCCGGAGGCACCAGAGAACGGCAGGGTTAAGTCGGGCCTGTCCCTCAACAGGGGGAACACTCAAAAATAGTCAAAAAGTAATATGGGGACTATTTTTGGACTATTTTCCTGCATTTTTGGAGTATGTTTGGAGTATGTTTGGGTTTTTCTTTTCGTCCAAACTCCCCCTGTAGAGGGACAGGCCCGACCTAACGGCAGGGGGGGGGGCACCGCCACGCAGCGGTAGCCGCCCAGAGGCCGCCGCCCTCGCTCCTCGAGGGCAGGGCCCGCTGCGCGGGCCTCCCGTCAAGTTTCCCCTTCCCCTCGGCGGCCGCCTCTCGGGGGCCCTGCCGCACCGGGGGCCGGCCCCGAGGAGCCGCCGGAGGCGGAGGCCGCCGCGGCCAGCAGCAGCGGCGGCGGGTCCTCGTCGTCCAGCGAGGAGAGCGCCGAGGACGCCCCCCCCCCCGCTTCCTCCTGCACCTCCTCCGCCCTCCTCCTGAGCCTCCTGAGCCTCCTGAGCCTCCTGAGCCTCCTCCTGAAGCTCCTCCGCTTCAGCCCCCCCCGCCTCCTGAAGCCTCCCCGCGCCCCGCCCTCCTCGTGGAGCTCTTCCGCTTCAGCCACCCCCCTTTCCCCTCCTCGTGCAAGCTGCAGCAGGCTCCGCAGGAGGCTGGGGCGCTGGCTCCCCCCAGTCGTGGGGTGCCGATGTCCTGGTGCGGAGGGGGAAGCCCAAAAGTCGTCTCCTCGGATCTTTGGTCTCGGTATCAGGGGAACAAGCAAGGACATGAGCATAAAAACTCAGAGCTCCGCGCAGATTTCTCGGGCCCGCGCGGGACCCCCCTGGCGGCCCCTCCAGCGCCGCCCCTGGCGCGCTCCGCGCGCCAGGGAGGGGGGTCCAGCTCCGATCCGAGAAATCCGCGCGGACCTTCGAGTTTTTATGTTTATGTCCTTGTTTGTTCCCACTTCTGTCTCAGCTCAGTGGCGCCTCGCCGTAAATTACCTCGTCTCCTCCTCTTCCTCCTCCTGCCCCCCGGCTTGCTTGTTCGGTGCGGCCCAGGGCCTCCGACGCCCCAAAACACCTGTGGCTGGCAGCTTCTGGCCCTGTCCGCTCGAGGTGTCCGATCCTCCCCGCCCCCCTCCTACACGCCGGTCGTTGAAAGGAGGTATTTCTGGATTCCCAGGTCCCAATCTGCTTCAAGCGCCTTCCTACTTCAAGAATCGGCATGAGTTTGATCTGTTTTGTTATTCTCTGGGAGGGCCTGGACCCAATCCATTTTGTCCGCCTTCCTACTTCATGTTTTTACCTACTTCTTCCGACCGACGTGTATTCTTTCTCATCGTCGGCAGCTCTTGCAGCGGTGCGCGCGACGCTCCCTGCGCAGGCGGCCTCGCAGGCAGCTCGGCAACGGCTATCGGATCCTCGGGGCGGCGGAGGTTGCCATGTCGCTGCCACCTCCCGACCCCTCTGCGCCACCCTTTGGGCCCTCCCGTCCAGCTTCAACTCTTCGTCATCGTCGTCCTTCCCCCCCTCCCTGACCCCTGGCAGGTTGCAGGTGGTCCTTGGGGGGTTCACGGAGTCATGAGCAGACTGTCGATTATTGTCCTCGCGCGGGAATTCCTTGCGAATTATACTGGAATCGCGCTTTCGCGTCGGACTTTGTTGCAATGTTTTCAGACGCCAGGCCCTCGACACTCAGGAATCATGCTCTCGCTGTGGATTTCCTCAACATTGATTCGGGAATCGCGCTATCGTCCGAGACTTCCTCGCGATTCTTGCAGGACGCACGCTGGAGCAACCCGCCTGCTCGACCTGGCCGCCTAGGCCCACCTTCCCGACCCGCCCGTTAGGGTCTACACGCGCGATCTGCCCGTCTGGTTCTGCCACGTGTTTTCTGCTCCTGGCCCCCCTCCTGCTACCCATCCTCCTCCCTTCCCCTTGTCCCTTCCTTCCATCCGTCCTCTCTTCCCCTGTCTTGAGGGCTGCACGAAATACACGTTGGAGGTAAAAAGGAAACCCTAAGGGGTATGAGCGAAGACGAAGAGGGCGGGTATCGAGGCTTTGGGGTATACGTGTAGAATGGCAAGCGAGCAGATAGGTGCGAACCGCCTTAACATGAGTGTCGTTGTGGTTGTTGCTCTTGATGATGATGGTGGTTCTGATGATGGGGATGTGGATGCGGAGGGGGAGGAGGACCAGTGTAAACTCATGACGGATCAGCGATGTTGGAATGAAGCCGCCTCGAAGTTCCCTCTTCATAGGCCTCCACAAAGGATCATTTCCATCGGGGGAACTGTCTCGCTGGGAGACAACCGTTTGACGACCCAGAAGCATGCCAAAACACCGTTCTCGGGACTCTAACACCACGGATGAACACCACGGATGAACCTGGCTGTTGCGTCTCGACTATCCTGAATCGTGCCAGAACACCATGCTTGGGAGTTCAACACGGCGAATCAACGTAACTGTTGCGCCCTCACAGGACTCAGCCCTGGCCCTGAATCTTCTCAGACCATTTCTGGCACGTAGAGACTGGGGATTCGCGAAACTTCTGCATTTGTTTTAAACGAATGCACGCGGCGCTAAGGCGAAAACCACATTTTCAGAAAGGGCCGCCCTCAATCATTGAAGTTTCTGCAGCTTGTTCGAACTAATGTGCGCGGCACTACGGCGAGAGCCACATTTTGAAAACCGCCTGCCCTCAATCCGTGACAATCGTGTAAATCTTTAAAACGAATGTGCGCGGCGCGAAGGCGTGCGCCAGATTTTGACAACCGCCCGCCCTCAATCCGTAAAGCTCTTGCAAATGTTCAAGACGAGTGTGCGCGGCGCTAAGGCGAGAGCCACATTTTGAAAACCACTCGCCTTACATGTGTGAAGCAGTTCTTGAGTTTTAAGATTCAGGGTCATAAGTGGTGAGGAAGTTTCAGGCGAAACCCCCAGCCCGCCCTTTCGACCTGCCTCGGGGTGCGATAGGGAGGAGTTGTTCATAAGGAAAAGGAATGGAGGAAGAGCTGGAGGTGGAGGAGGAGGAGAAGGAGGAAAATATGAAACGAGAGAAGGAGGAGGAGGAGGAGGGGGAGAAGGAGAAGGAGGAGGAGGATGAGGAAGAGGAGGAGGACCAGGAGGAGGAGGAGCAGGAGCAGGAGAAGGAGGAGGAGGAGGAGGAGGAGGAGGAGTGGGCTTCGTCGCCGTTGTCGTTTTGCTATCACCACCGCCGCCGCCAGCCTCGTCGCCGCCGCCTCCGTCGTGGTCGTCGTCGTCGTCATCAATGCCGCAGTCATCGTCGCCGACAGCGCCGCCGTCCTGATCGTCGTCATCGTCGTCGTCGTCGTCATCGCCGCCGCCGCCGAAGCCGCCGCCGCCGCCGCCGCCGCTGCCGTCGTCGTCGTCGTCGTCGTCGTCGTCGTCGTCGCCGTCGTCGTCGTCGTCGTCGTCGTCGTCGTCGTCGTCGTCGCCGCCGTCGGCGCCGTCGGCGTCGTCGTCGTCGTCGTCGCCGCCGTTCGCTTTTCCTCCCAGGACTCCCCGCCCGCCGTTCTGGCGGGATGGAGCACCGGCGGGTCCGCGCCCTCCTCGGGGGCGGCGGCCGCGTCCAAGGGAGCGGCGGCCGACTTCAAGGAGATGCTGCGCGACCACGTGCTCAGGCCGCGGCGAGGGGGTCCCTCCTAAGTGGGGTTCGAGTAGATGGATCGGCGATGCGGCGCGATGTGGAGCCCGCGTCGCCGCATTGCCGATGCATCGGCGATGCGGCTCGATGTGGATCCCGATGTTTTCCACGCCGGCTGCACTAATGCATTTGCGATGCATCGGCGATGCTGCGCGAACCTTCGACACCATCTGCTTGGACCCCAGCCTCTGGGGGGGAAGTGTGGATCCAGTGCCGTTCCGAGCAGGCCCTGCCGCCCTCTGAGTCGGGGGGGACAGGCTCAGGGGGCGGGGGGGCGCGAGGGAAGAGTGAATATCACGATGCCTCTCTTGGGGGCGCCAGCAAGGGGGATGTGGCGCTCCAGGGGGGTGGGCGAGAGCATTCAAAGGGATCTCAGGAAGGGAGGCCACGGAACGGATCACAAGGGGCATCAGCACGGAGACCAGCACGGGAGAGTTCCCATCTTGGATCTCTCATACGGCGCGGGCGACCACGGGCCACCGATCCACCGAATCCGCCAGATCGACTCGCGCTGGGGCGCAGAGCAATGGCGCAGGATCCTCTGACAGACGCGCAGCTTAGGGAGTGTACTCTTATGCTGCCAGCTATAGCATTCTATACGAGACTACGCCTTAGGGGGCTTTTCTATGCTGTACTGTGAGGCTTGACCTTCAGTGTGGAGCCCCGGATGCCGCAGTCCCGGGGCTCGAGGGTGGTACAGCGTCGCGCGGTTTCCGCGCGGCGGACGAGCTGGCTGCCGCAATTGGCCCTCGCGGCCGAGAGCCAGCACACCTTCGCCGCCCAGGTCGGCCTTGGCATCGCTCGGACGTGTGTATTTCTCCTTCGGCGAGGACCGTGAGGAGCATCCCTGATCATCTGGCGAACAAGAACCACGCCCGAAGCCGAGCAAGATCAGGGAATGGACGTCCGAGCGATGGCCAGCGGCGGCAGCCACTTCTCGGCCTCTGGAGCCTCGCCACCTCCGTGCTGCTCCCGGGCCTCGTGCCCTCCGCCCCGGGCGCGGCTGCCGCGGCTGGCCGCCGTCGAGCGGGGAGCCCTCGACGGCGGAGCCTCTCGGCCCCACCCCGCAGGGCAGGGCTGGACCCCAACGGTGTCTTTGGTGATCTCGTGGGCCGTTTTCGTTCCGATTTCGTTTTGCGGTAGAGGCGGATTCGAGGCAGAAACGAGGGAACGCGAACAGGAAGCGAACACGACAAACACCGTCTAGGTTCAGCCCTGTCGCAGGGTATCGCACGGACTAGTTCCTGCATGCCCCTGCCGCCGCTGGAGGCGCTCGCGTCGCTCCTCGACTCCTCGAGCCCCGTGACTGCCACGCCCGTCGCGGCGACGGTCGCCGGGTCAGTCCGGATCGAGATCGCAGACGACCACCGTCCCCAGCCCGGCGGCATTGGGGCGGGTTACTGCCTGCGCCGCGGAGCTCGAGCTGGAGCCTCGGTGGGCCGTCCTCCCAGAGCCCCGCACGTGTCAGGAGGGGAAAAAACACCGACACAATTCATCGTCGATTGCCCAGAAAATATGGGAAACTATGGGAAGTGGGGGGAAGGCAAAAACCCAGAAGATATGGGAAACTATGGGGAATCTTTTTATTTGTGGGTATTTATTTGTGTGTCCCAGGGCCCCTTTAATGTGGTCCGACTCGCTGCGCGCGCCGTCGGAGGAGGTGGCCCGCCTCGGAACAACTTAGCGAACACATGCCACGTTCATCCATCAACGCCTCCCCCTCCCCCCAATGTTCCAAGTTGGCGGTGGGTCTGATGAGGTGCACTTCGACCGCAGTCTCCCTCCACCGTTGGGCTGGCGGAGGCCGTCTTCGTGGTGCTGGCGAGTCAGCGGAGGGATGGCACCCTCGGACGTGCCGCTCGCGCGCCGCGTTCGTGGAGTGCCTCGCTGGCCTGCCAGCCGGGCCGGGCCGCGGCATTTTCTCGGAGGCCCAGGCGCGAGGCTGCCTCTGGGGCGCGGGCTGGGCTCCCGAGTGGCTGCCGCCATGGCGGATCTGGACTGCGCGGACTTGGCAGACCGCGATGATGGGATAGTACGATCGGATCCCACGGTGATGGGGTCGCACAGTGATCGGAGGCCACGGTGGGGGGGCACATGGTAGATGTGCGAGCAACCATACGGAAACCGAACGCCAGCACATCCCGTTCAAGCGCATGAGAAAAGAAGGAACGGCCAGAAAGCGAAAGCACTGCTTGGCGGCCCGGGACCACGGCACCGAGTGACGGCGGCACGGTTGCCGATGCACGCGTATACACATGCTTGCGCATCTCAGACAGATGCGCGCAAACATCTCCAGCATGGTATCGCATGCGCAGTTGGCACGGGGGTTGAGAACAATCCTGGCGTTGTCTGGGGTGCCCTCGCCTCGTGTTCTTCGTGTTCGGGGGCCCTCCGCATGATAACGTTGTTCGTCTGGGGTATATCGCCCTGGTGCATTGAGGCTTCCGTCACAAATCCCGCGCTCTCGTGGCCACGGCTTGACTGTACCGCAGGTGGGGGGGACATTATCTGAGGGCCTGCTTTCGTCTTGCTGTGGGCCAGGCAAAGAGGGCGGACGGGCGAGAGGTCGGTCCTCGCTGCTCCTCGGATCCCCTGTCTGGGCGGCGTGCTCGAGGGGTGCGGCTCGCGATCGACGCTGGAATGAACAATGGTTTGATCGCATCGCACGGGGATTGCGCCTGGCCTGGCCAGGCTTGTTGTAATCCCAGATCTCCAACGATATGTGTGTTTTCAAGTGGCGTTTTTTTCTTTTCTTCCGATTCGGGCCCCAGGACCACCAACATTGGATCGGGCGCGAAAACATAACCCCAGGGAAGGGATCGGGGCCTCTGGGGCCGCAAATTGAAAAAAACATTAGATCGTAAGATGGCTGGGAATACGCAGTAGGCACACCACATAGCAAAATCGGTCTGCCAGTAAGTGCCCCACGGAAATGTCCTATCCCTCGATGCCCGAGGAACTCACAGAAGCTCTGGGGCGCTTTAGGACCCTCGAAGATCGACGAATCATGTGGCGCAAGACTTCTTGTAGTCAGATTTCTCCTCATCGTGGCGCAAGACTTCTCATCGTACGTGTCTGCTGTGCTGCCCCAGGGATCCCCCTCCAGGAGGGGAATGAGCTGAGATTCGAGAAGACGTACGCCTCTTCGCGCCGCGATGAGAATCACGGTGGGAAGTTCTTGTTATGCAGCTGTTGTTTCTTGGGAGCAATCGCCGGGCCTCGGGGCTGTCAAACAGCTGTTCAGGACGAAAAAGCGGGCCCCAGGGACGGGGTCGACGAACATTGTGGCAGAAAATGTCATATGGCCAGATTTCTCATCGTACTTGTCTGCTGGAGCGTTCCGGCCCCCCCTTCGTCCCAGAGCTCGATGAGATCCTGGATGTGTGTTAGCCCAGGCGTGTGCTCACCCCGCTCGGCTCCGCCGATAGTGTGCAGCCCGTGTCGGCCATCGCTGCGCTGCCTGTGTCGTACTGAAGGGCCTCGGTGGACAAACACACGGTGGCGCTAACACGCGTTCAGAGGATCATCGAAGAGGGGAGCTGAAAGAGAAAGAAATAAAGGTGGAGGAGGAGGAGGCGGAGGAGGGGGAGGAGGAGGAGGAGGAGGAAAACGAGGAGGAGGAGGAGGAGAAGGAGGAGAAGGAGGAGGAGGAGGAGGAGGAGGAGGGGGAGGAGGAGGAGGAGGAGGAGGAGGAGGAGGAGGAGGAGGAGGAGGAGGAGGAGGAGGAGGAGGAGGGAGGTGGGCCGGGGCCGCGCGGTGCCCCAGGCCGCCCGGCGGCCCCGCCGACGTGGCCAGGAAGCTGCGGAGGATGAGGCTCTGCTGCCAGGACGGGCGGGGTCGGAGGCCACAGCGGCTGCGCCTGAGATCACCACCCACCAAACCACCCCAGCCCAACCCGAAGGCTCAGATTTACCCTCGATTTCTAGTGGGGGGGGGGGTCCGGAAACATCGAGAAAGCACAGATGGAACCCATACCCCCCCCCAACCCGAAATTCGGGTCTTCGGGTTGGGTTGGGGTGGTCTGGTAGGTAGTCATGAGAAGTGCCCATCGGTTTGTGGAGGACGATCAAGGGAGAGGAAGCATGCTGCCGAATAATTCCCAGATGTCTAAACCATGTTTCAAACATGTTTCAAATATGCTAAACAAATGTCTGAAACTTTTCAGAGCATGTTTCACACATTGCCAGCACATCTTTACTTTAATGATAGGATCGTTAGAGTGTCCATCGTCGTGGCATCCACAACCATCGGTCGTTGAGATTGGTGAGGCTTCGGGTTGCGTGCAGACAGCCCCGCCAGGTGGTCCTGGCTGGCCTGAGCAGCCCCCCCGAGTACGGTCAGCCCGCACAGTAAGGGTGGGCAGCCTTCCCAAGGGTGCCCTTGCATCCTCGCCTCCTTGGCCCATGCTTGGCCACTTTCGTTGGCCGCGCCCCGCTCGAAAAGCTTCGACGTGGGCGTCCAAGGCCCTTGCATCCTTATCGTGCATCCTTCCTATACGGGTTGACTGTAGTCTGGGGCGGTCTCAACACCCTGGCGCCGCCTTCGGCGGCGCCCCATATGGGGCGCTGTTGAGGCCAGCTGAGAGGGGGGGGCTGTCTGTGCGCAGCCCGAAGCCTCAGCAAGAAGTGCACGTCGGTAGTTTGATATATGTATTTTTGGATTCCTGGATGCCAATTTACTTCATGCGCCCTTCGATGTCAGGTGTCGAGCGGTTTTCCCTTTTCCCTCCTCTTCAGGGGTCGAGTGTTCGTGCCGTTCCTGGGTTCGGGGTCGGTGGACTTGCTCGTGGCCGAGGCTCACCGTGCCAGACTGGCCTTCGGCTCCTCATTCAGCGTTCCCTACGGTAGCACCGTTGCTGCATCTGCCGGGAGTCCGGATAGATATGACGCGGCTAATTTTCGGGCGAAAATAATTATACACATGCACCGATCCTGGCAAGGCCCATCCTTGACCCAGGTTCGGTGCATGTACCTTCCTGGCCAGGGTCGGAGGGCGTATGCACCGATCCTGGGCTCAGCATGGGCCTGGCCAGAATCGGTGCATGTGCATAGTTCTTTTTCCTCTATAAGCTTGGGCGAGAGCTGGCTGCACATGGGGGCAGATAACTCTCCAGCGCTCCACCCTGCTGTGGCCAGGTACGCTGGGCTTCCCCGCGGGCGGGTCCAGCGCGAAGCCTCGGGACGTCTCGCACGCGAGCCCAGCCGTGTGTCCTTCCGGCTTCCTGGTGTGCGCACGGGGGCTTCCAGGCTCACATGCGATTGCTTCTCCAAGCTCACCAGTTTTGACTCGGTGACCGGTCCTGAGACACCGCCCAGGGTCCCTGAGACGAGCTTTTCTGGGCATGGGCGGGGTTCCAGCCTGTCTCTGTAGCGGGCGGGCGAGTAAGAGGACAACATGCAAGCCCCCGCGATCGAGGACGCCTGTCTCGGGCCGGGCGAATGGGGGGGGGGATTGGGAAAGGGAGGGTTACGAAATTTGCTGCATGCAGCTGTTTTCGGTCCCACCGAGGGGCCCATTCCTCGATACATAGCCGCCTCCGGTGCTGGGAGGCGCCAGGAAAATCAGCTACGTGAGCTGATTCTCACCCCCCCAATTGCTATCCCCCCCTTTCGCCCGACCCGACTGTCCCAGGGCGGTTGGAAAGTTTACATCCCCACCTGTCCCCGCAGGGGTGTCGACTTCCCAGCCGCCCTGGGACGGGCGTCCCGCATGGCGCACATGTCGGCTGACCCCGCGCCGCGCACGCGGCCGCCCAGGACAGCGTCGCGTTCGAGAAGTCCCACCTGTCTCGCATGAGGCATCGCCTGTCCCGCGTCGAGATGCTGGGCGCGGTGGCGGAGCTCGAGCGCGAGCTGCGGGCGGGAGGAGCCGCTGCAGAGGCCCAGCTCGACGGCGGCGCCCACGAGGCGGCCTCCTCCTCCTCCTCCTCCTCCTCCTCCTCCTCCTCCTCCTCCTCCTCCTCGATCCTCCTCCTCCGCCTCCTCCTCCTCCTCCTCCTCCTCCTCCTCCTCCTCGAGGAGGTGGCCTCCCCCCCTCGAGGAGGTGGCCGCGCCGCCGCCGACGGCCGGCAGCGTCGGCAGCGCGGCAGCCCTTCCACGAACACGGCGGGCACGCCAGGTAAGAAATTGTCGGAGGTTGATCAACCTCCCACCCTGACAAGTCGATTGAGGAGTTGGCCGTTTTCGGTTCGCGAGCGGGCGTCGCGGCCGTCATTTTTGTGGGTCCAGGTCCGTCGGTTCGGTCCCAGGCCGTTTTCATTAATAGGAGGTTTACTAAAGGGAGGTTTGTCCACCGCCGAAATTGGCCTGCCTCGAAGAAGAACAACGGCACGAACATAAACTGTTGGCGCTCCGTGCGGATTTCTTGGATCAGCGCTGGGCCCCCCTGGCGGCGCTTCCGGCGCCGCCAGGGAGGGAGACCGGGCGCGGATCCACGGAATCCGCGCGGAGCGCCAAAAGCTTATGCGTATGCCGTTGCTTTCTTTTTCTACTGCCAGCAGGTGCCCCAACGGACATCTCTCGTCCCCCCGATCTCCAGAGCGAGGTGCAGCGGCGGGGGGAGCTGCTCCGGCGGCTCGCCCCGACGGCCGGCGCCCCCGGGGCGGCCTGCGCCCCGGAGGCGGCCGCGCCGGCGGCGGCCAGGAGAGCCTCGGCAGTGCAGGCAACGCCCAGCCACCGACACGGCAGAAGCACACCAAAGAGGATCGGCCTGCCAGCGGGTGCCCCCAGCGGCATCCGACGGCCCGCGTCGGCGGAGGGGCAGGGCGACGCGCGCGGAGCCCAAGGGCCCACGCCGAGGCCGTCGTGGCACGGGGCCTGCTTTGTCCGAGCTCCTCCGGAGGCGCCCGGCAGCCCCACGGCGCGCGCGGGGGCTCTCTGTGGGCGCAGGGAGGGCGCCTCGAGGTGCGAGAGCGGCGTGCCGGCAGGTGCCCCACGGAGGTGCTCTCCTCCCCCGACGGCACCAGGGACATACAGTCGGGGCGCTGAAGAGGGAACCCTTTTCGTTGGGGAGGGGCTCGGTGTTCCTTGATTGTTGCACAGTTTGCCTTGGGTTTTCCTTTTGTTTTCCATGGGAAATCAAGACTTCACTTATGGGAACAAGGGGCCCCGTTCCTTCTTTAGGGTTCCTTGGGTCAACGCCCCGACTGTACACAAGCTCTGGGCACCTGTGGTCAGATGGTGGATTACTGACCCCGCTTTCTCTGCCAGGCAGAACCACGTCATACCACGCGCCTCCTCGTCACGCAGCCTGACCGTTGCGAACCACCTCATGGGTAGCTTGGTATCGCTTGGTGCCCGTTTGGAAGCGAGGGTGGTCAAAAGCGAGGTCAGTTCGTTTGCCTCTCAATTTGCGCAGAAGGCGCATCAAGTAAGAAAGTTACCTGCCAGCAAGTGCCGCACGGAAGTTCTCATTTCTCATCCCTCGATGGCCCCAGTGATCCCCAGAAGCTCTGTGCCGCCTGCGGGACCCTCAGAGATCTACGAAGAGGATGCCCCGGGATGGCTGGTAGCAAGATTTCTCATTGTATGTGTCTACCCTGGCTCCTAGCTCGTAGCCCTGACCCCGTGTCCACGTTGCATCCTCCACGCTCGACGAGATGGGCTGCCAGGAATCGTTGCCGTCACGGTGCCGTGCAGAGGCTCGGGCAGGAGGGCCAGCCTACAGAGCTGGCAGTGTGGATTCGCACCTGCGGGTCACTGGCACCAGGAGAATCATGACTGGCCCTCTTTGGCTTCCTTGCCCTCTCTGGCTCCCTGCCCGTCGCATCCTCATCGCCCACCTTTGGCTTCTTGGCCTCCTTGCCCGCTGGCCCTCTGCTGTCCTCGTCCCGCCGCTCCGGAGGCCCAGGAGCCCTCCTGTGCGCCGAGCGAGGCTGGGCCGGCGCGCAGAAGGGGGGGGTCGGAGGGGTGAGATGCGACACCAACACCACCAGGGGGCCACCTCCAGCAAGGAGGTCACGATACCTCCCCGAGCTGGAGGCTGGGGATGTCTTGAGCGAGACGGGCGGACCACACCACCAGGGAGACCCCCCTTGCTCCTCGCCTCTCCTCGCCCTGCTGGTGTTGGTGTCGCCTTCCCTTGTTCCTGGGGGGGGGGGGGGGAGCGGGTGCCTCGGGTGCCCCCAGACGGTGTGGTGGCCACACCGAGTGGTGAGGGAGTCTTGGCATCGCTCGGACGTGTGAATTTTTTCGCGGCGAGAACCATCGAGGACCATCCTGGACCATCGAGCAGAAAAAGTACGCACGAAACCGAAAAATGCACGGGAAATGGACGTCCGAGCGACGGCAAGGAGCGGGGAGTCGGATTCACCGCACGGTTTTGGAACTCGGGTCGTCCGAGAACGTCTCGGGCGACAGGGGCCTCCGAGGTCCCATGACGGTGCAGCGACGGACCGCGCGGTGAGGTCTCTTGGGATCTCGAAGACGCCGTGCGGTGTGCCATTGCACCGGGCTGGGAATCCCAGGTGATGCCACAGGTTGCCAGACTTAGACCCCTCGCGTCGTGAAAGAAACACGACGGAAGATGTTGGGCAATCTAAGGCCTCCAGAGGCCCTCGCCGGGCCCCGGGGCCGTAACCCAAACGATCTTGGCAGGTGGTCGGGATCTTTTTATGGGCCGATTTTCCACCACGACTACCATAATATGTAGGAGAAGGAGGAAGAGGAGGAGGAGGAGGAAGAGGAGGAGGAGGAGGAGGAGGAGGAGGAGGAGGAGGAGGAGGAGGACCTCCCCATCCTCTCTTCCCCCCCGTCCTACATGTGGTAGTGGTGGTGGAGAATTGGCCCATCATCTCTGAGAATCGACGTTGTGAAAACAGATGACGACATCGGAGGTCGGGGGAGGTGTCCCTGGCCACCGACGGGGTTGCCGCAGCTTGCATTTGGACGAAAGGGTTGATACGCACCCCTTTGTGAGCATGCAACGACAACGGTCAGAGCAGAGTTGGACAGCTACACTGGGTGCGAGAGCAAGACCTACGCTTCTCTAGACGTGATATGCAGGTGTCGGCCTCGTCATCATCGTCTTCGAGGGCCAGGTCCGAGAATCGATTGCAGAGGGTGTTCGACAATTTTGACAATTCTTCGGCCCCCAGGGCTCAGTGGCCTTTGAAACGGCCCCCCTCACATAGAGAACGGGCCCGTTCTTGCGACTCCTTCGGCGAGAACGGGCCAGTATCTCGTCAAAGTGTGGCGCGTCGTTGCCGTCGCCATCGTTGTCGTTGCCGTCGCCGACGCCGTCGTCGTAGCCATCGCCGCCGTCGTCGCCGTCGCCGTCGCCGTTGCCGTCGGCGTTCCCGTCACCGCCGTCGCTGTTGCCGTCGCCGTCGCCGTCGCTGTTGCTGGCTCGTTGCCGTTGCCGCCGTCGTTCCCGTCGCCGATGCCGTCGCCGTCGCCGTCGCCGTCGCCGTCGCCGCCGCCGCCGCCGCCGTCGCCGTCGCCGTGGACGTTGCCGTCGTTCTTGCCGTCGTCGCCGCTGCTGCACAAAAGGGGGGTTGGTGGCTATGTGCGTCCTCGAACCCCTCCTCGGCGCCAGTGCTCGGGGAAATCCGCTTCGAATATTTACCGGCCTCTCCCCACCGCCTGGGCGGCCGTCGACCGGCCCTCTTGTCTTTTTTGTGGGACCACCCCCGGGCCAGACGGGGTGCGGGAGAAGGGCCGATTTTTGGGCCACTGGAAGCATTTCTGCGGACCGACTGCCCCGGGGAACGGTCCTATGATGTGTATTCTATAAGGAGGTGGATTCCTAAGTTGACGCTCTCTTGGGGGCGACATTTTGCGGGGAACAGCGGTGGTTTTGAATCATGCCCCCCTTGTCGCTGCACTCCCCCGGAGGCGCCGGCGCAGGGGGGAGAAAGGAGGGTGGAGGACGCAGAGAGGAGAGAAGGCGGAGGATGACTGAGGAGGAGGAGGGAGGTGCGGCCGTGAAGGGAGGGAGGGAGGCGCGGCCAGGCGGGTCTCGCTTCGCTGGGGAGCCCCTGGCGTCGTTGTTATCTCTCGTGTCCGTGCCGCTGCCGTGGGCATTCGCCATGGGGTAAGTTTTTCCTGCCACTGTCTTGAAACATCCGCTGTGTTTCTCAGGCTTCGCCCTCTTCTCTCGAATGCGGTGGCGAGTTTCTCTTGAAGGCGGGTCTGGGTTTCCTGGAGGGATTTGGGGTTTCGCACGTGTCGGTTCCGTTTCTTTTGAGATATGTATCTATCTTTATATATAGATATGTACACAGGAATTCCAGGTTTCGCCTGATATCGGTTTCGGGCTTCCCGGAGGGATTCTGGGTTTCGCTTGTGCCGATTCTAGTTTTTCTCTTTCCGCAAATGTGGATTTCGCCGGAAAATCTGGGGCTCGCCGCTCGACCAGTTCAACTGCACTCAGGTTGTTTACATGTTCGGCCCCCCGCAGGTCCTCTAGGAGGCCTCTTCGGGCGCATTGGGTCCTTCGGGCCTTGCTGAGGTCTGTTGGGGCCGTCTTTGGGCCATCATGGGCCGTCTGGGCCCGTCTTGGACCGCCCTCGAGGCCCCTGGACCCCTCCCTGGCCACCTTGGCGACCATCCGAGAGCTTCTGGAGCCCTCGTGGGCCAATCTCGCGGCCGTCTCGAGCCACCGTGGCTGTCTTGGAGGCAACGGCGCGCGTGTCGCTCGCTCCTTCCGCGGGCGGCGGCAGGCGGGCCGGGCCGCTTCGGGCCGAAGGCGAGATCCGACGAAGGCATCTATACACCACCACCGTGCCAGGCCAGGGCCATCCTGGGCCCTAGGATGGTGTATAGACCCTCCCGGCCTCGGCCAGGAGGGCGTATACACCATGCCAGGGCCAGGACGGCCCTGGCCTGGCACGGTGGTGGTGTGTAGATGCCTTCTGCGTACGAGAGCTTTTGGGAAACGCCAGACGCATTCGTCGAAATCCGGTGGCTGCGTCGCACGGGTGGCGGCTCGAGCGCCCCTCGGCCCCTCCCGCCGCCATGCCCGGGTCCTCGACTGGAAGCCTCTCGGTAGGGGTTCGCATGTGGCCCCCTACTCGGGGGCCTCTTGGGGCTTCCTGGGCGGACTACTGGGAGGCCTTTGGGGGGCCTGGTCGCCCTGACAGGAACACACTCTCTGCACCAGGCAAGCTCATCCCTTTTCTTCCTCCTCCTCCTCCTCCTCCTTCCTACTCTTGCTGCCCGCGATCTGTCCTTGATCCCGCGCCGAGCATTGCCAGACGGATACATGTACCCACGCGCCTGGTGGCGTATGGTTTATTCGTTTGGGGGTGCCTCTTGGAGGTCTCTTGGTGGTCGTCCCCTGCGACCTTTGGGGGCTTCTAGGTGCCTTCGGAGCCTGTTGGCGGTCTCGAGAGCCATCTTCGGTGCCAGGGGCTCCAAATGTCGGTTCGAAGCCCCACATTTGGATCCCCCTGGGGGGCCGTCTCGGGGGCCTCTTGAGCCCTTGTTGGAGGTACGTTGGCCGTCATGGAGCGATCTTGGGGGCCTCTCAGGCCGTCTTGGACGCTCGACTCCAAAAGGCTGACCGTGCTGTAGCCTACGAGTTCCGCCACGCTGCTGGCCCCCGCGGCTACCAGACGGTCCCGTGGCGCCCCGCTGTGGCCGCTCTGGCCCAGGCGTTCTTCCCAGCCCAGGCCGCTCTTGCACCGCCTCTTCCCTCGGAAGGGCAGTGGATGGGGATGTCGGCCCCGGCAGACGAGGGGGCGGAGCCGCTCCAGCGCGCCGGCGACGCAGCCGCTCCCGCGGGCCGTGCCGCCGTGGCCCCGGGGGCCTGCCCCGCGCGCGCCACGGGCCCTCCCGCCGCCGCCGTGGCGGGCTCCGTGCTGGCGCGGGCGCTGGTGCCCTGTGAGCCTCGCGTCCCGGCCCTGGACCTCGCCGCGCTGGCCGCGGAGCACGCCCGCGCCGGCGAGCCCGAGGTGGCGCCGTGCCGCAAGGGCCACCCGCCACACAAGGATCAGGAGGGGAAAAAACACACAGACACAATTCATCGTCGATCCCCAGGAAAATATGGGAAAGTATGGGAAGTGGGGGGGAAGACAAAAGCCAGAAACATGCGGGAAGCTATGGGGGATCTGTTTCTTTGCGTGTGTTTATTTGTGTGTCCTGGAGCCCCTTCCAAGGAGGTGGTGCGCGCGGCGCCTCAGCAGCAAGGCCCCGGCCTGGGGGGCGCGCCGGCTCTCCAGCGCTTCCGGTGGCAGGTGCTCCGGGGCCTGGCCGCGCGGCGCCCGCAGGGGCGCGGCCCCGCGACGGAGTCGCTGCTGTTCCCCGGCCTGACCGTGGCGAGCCCGCGGCGCGCGGGCGGCGGCCGGAAGGCTCGGGGGCCCCCAACGGGGTGGTGGCCACACCGTGCGGCGAGTCGGTGGGGATTTTTGGGCTCACCGCACGGTTTTGGGGCTCGGGTCGTTCTCCGAGGACGTCTCCGGCGACAGGGGCCTCCAGGGTCCCAAGACCGTGCGGTGAGGTCTCGGGGGATTTCGAGATCACCGCACGGTCTGTCGCCGCACCGTTTCGGGACTCCAAAAAGGCGGCGACCAGGAGCGCGGCGAGCTCCAGCACCGCGGCCACGGACGCCGGGGCAGCCTGGTCGCCGTCTGCAGTGCCATGGGCGGCAGGTCGAGCGGCGCCAACACAAAAGCGGGTCGTCTGCGCCGACATCGGCGCGTGAGCTGCCCGTGCAAGGTCGCGCGTGTTGAGCGCCCTCGCTTCCGATGTGGCGTGCCGCGCCGGCGGCCCGCATAAGCCGCCGCGCAAGGGCGCTAATTATGCCATCTCGCGTAAGACCCATTTCTGATCGTCGCTCAGGTGGGGAGGCGCAGTGACTACCTCGTTGGCTGCTTCATCAACTTATGGCGCTCAACTTCGGGCAGTTGGGCGCCATTGTTCTTGCTCTCTCGT